TTCTTACATTCTTTTTTATTTTATTTTATTTGTTTCAAGTACACAGTACATTGGTTAGACATTTATATAGTTTGTAAAATGATCCCCCTAATTACTCTTTCTCTCCCCTGACCCTCCACCCAGCCATCACATTAGTGCTAATTGCATTCCCCATGCCGTGCTCCCCATCCCCGTGACCATCTATCGGCTACTAATTTGTACCTCTTTAACCCTTTGTCCCATTCTCCCAGCCCCCCGGCCCCCTCCCCTCTGACCATCCCCAGATTGTCCTCTATATTTGTGAGTCTGTTTTTGATTAGTTTGTTCTTTTTGTTCCTTAGAGGTTATTATGCTGAGTGAAATAAGTCAGACAGAGAGATACCATGTGTTTCACTTATATGCGGAATCTAAGGAATGAAATCTATTTTAAATCTTGACTGTCTCCTTCACCTTCTCCACAGGGAACATAAAAAAGCCATTGTATAAGACTCGCCTTAGCTTGCTGTGTACCTTTCTTCCCACCAAGGCACAGGTAGTATTTGAATCTCATCCCCTCTTTCCTTGGCCGCAATCTGGCCCCAGGTAATTCCCCACTCGGGCTCTGGATACCTTCCACCCTCTCAGAAAGCTGGTACAAGTGATTACTCTTGTCCCACCTGCATTTTCTCCCCTTTCTATTGGCTGATTGCCTCCTCCTAACCCCACATGCTCTCTTCTTTCGAATTCCCTTGACTCATTATTTATGACTCTCTGCATGTTTCTTGTGCTTTCTCCCTTATATTTTAGTTCTCTCTTATTTTAATTACTCTTCCTCATCAGACAGCCTAAATATTACCATCTTAACCATTTTAAGTGTACAGTTCAGTCATATCACATACATCCCATTGTTGTAGAACCAATTTCCAGAACCGAAGCTCTGCCCCATTAAACAATAACTCCCCATTCTCCATTCCACCCTTCCTCTGGCGACCACCATTCTACTTTCTGTCTCTATGAATCTGACTAGTTTTAAGTGTCCTCATATAAGTGGAATCACAGTATTTGTCCTTTTGTGACTGGCTTATTTCACGCAGCCTAATGTCCTCAGGGTTTATGCATGTTGTATCAGAATTTCCTTTCTTTTTGAGGCTGAATAATATTCCATTGCATGGATAGACCACGTTATGTTTATCCGTCCCTCCATCCATGGACACTTTGGTTGCTTTCACCTTTTGGCTCCTGGGGATTATGCTGCTATGAGCACGGGTGTGCAGGTATCTCTGAGACCTCGCTTTCAACTTTCAGAGGTATATACCCAGAAGTACAATTGCTGGGTCATATTTCAATTCTATTTAAAAGTTTTTGAGGAACCAACATACCATAGTGGCTACACCATCTTATATTCCCAGCATTTGCACAAGGGTTCCGATTTCTCCACATCCTTGACAACATTTCTTATTTTGTTTGTTGTTGTTGTTGTTGTTTTTGTTGTTGATAGTAGGCATCCTAATGGGTGTGAGGTGGTATCTCATTGTGGTTTTGATTTGTATTTACGTAATGACCAGTGATGTTAACAATCTTTTCACGTGCTTGTTGGCCATCTATATATCTTGTTTGGATAAATGTGTGTTCAAGTCCTTTGCCCATTTAAAAAATCGACTTTTTTTTTGTCAGTGCTGATTCATCTTTGAATCTCACATAGCATAAGCTCTGTTACTTTGCCCCATTTCTGAAAACTGGAGTTCAGAAAAGTTGGATGACTGTTAGAGGAGGTGACACAGAGGCCCTGGACCATTTCTGCATATATTCCACAGTCCTGGCTGTGTCTCAAGTACATTCAGAGCTACAACTATCCCTTTAAATTGTACTTCTGGAAACATAGACCAAGTGCCATCTGAGGGAAACTCGAGTTGGACGTGCATCGGCCCATAAAAGTTTTGATTGCCTCATCCCGAGACCTACATGAGGTAGCTTTCTAGAAGGAAAGGTAACCTTGTCCAGAGTCATACTGCTTGGGGGAACCTGGAGGAGTCAGTTCCATTTTGTGGTCTGGGAATTATTCCAGGCTGAACTACAGAGACATCCTTGCTCTCTGTATAGGCGAGTTCAAGACTCAGGAGGAACAAACTGCAAATCGCACAGGGGATCTTCTGAGGGGCGCGGACATTTTTTTCATTCAGTAAACATCTATCAAAGGCCTAAGAGCCAGGCACTTGGCTGGGGAGGTCGGACTGGAATTGCATCTTAGTCAAAGTTCAGTCGGTCTGGTTTATATCTATCAACATTCCAGAGCAGAGAAGTATTTAGAGAACTAGCTGCAGAAATATTAACCTTTAATCTCTGCCTCCCACTCCTGACTTCTCAACACTACAACTTTTGCTTTGATTTCCTTGACAATTTAGGTAAAAGTTATACTGGCTGATTAAATGAACCATTTTGGAAAGGGTGCCAGAAATTAAAACATAAATTTCCTTTGTTATAATGTCTGCAATTAAATCAACTGCTGCTTCTCCCCACCTATAGAACACAAAGTGCCTACGAAACTAACGAAGGAGTGTGCTGCTCAGAATGAGTGTTTCAGAGATTTGGTCATAACCAGCTCATAAGATGAATAAATGAAATAACACGTGAAAGCTTCCAGCAAAAGCTTTCAGGGTAGTAGCTTTTTCCTCTCTTTCTTTTTTTTTTTTTTTTGGTCTACCCATGAAGGAGATTACTAAGCAAATTAACAAGTAAGTGGGCAAACACATAAAGTGCTTTTTTATTTAATAGCAGGGACATTTAGCAGCAGGCCTCTATTCACACAATGAATCTAATTACAAATGAGTCCCGTGTGGTATTTAAAGCATTTACAGGACGTTTAGAAGCCTTAGTTCTACGCGCTTCCGCTTGTAATAACGTGACTGCAATCCTCAAAAGAGAAAGACCAGTACTGCTTCGTGAATGTCTTACTAGTCAGACTCTTCATTTACTTAAACCAACTGCCCCTCATTTGCCCCACTCCCCCTCCCCGATTGAATACCCTGAAGCCAGCACAGGTCGGCAAAACAGGAGGACACGACACTCAAGGCCTTCGCCACACTCACTATGATCCAGCTGCAGCAGACCCCTTGCCACCCCTTAAACAAGCAGTCCCCTCAACCTGGGCACTGGCCTGCGCTGCATCTTCACCCGATGAGCTCTCACTCATTTTTTTTTTTTTTACAACCCAGCTCATTGCCTTCTCTGAGCCACCATTTTGAACACCCATAGGGACTGTGCCCCTCCCTCTACTGAATTCCCATCACACTCTGCTGTATCTGGCAGAGCCCTGATTGCGTTAAAACAATGATGTGTTCACAAGGCTCTCTCCCCCACTGGACTGTGAACTCCTGGAAAACAGGGACTAAAGCTGACTCATCTTCTAACCTTCCCACCTATCCATAAACACCTAGCATAGTTTTTGGCCCAGTAGCTACTCAGTAAATATTTGGCAAAAGTTATTATCAGGATTAAGAAGGTAAATAGCAGCATGATCTAAAGGGAGAAAAAAGATCAAAACGGTGAGGATTCTGAAGTAAAGAAAAAAATAGAAAAAATTAAGAAAAATGGGTCAGTAAGAGAGGGTGGATGTAGAGAAACCCAGGAAAGAAGTAGGAAGTAGAGGAATAAAGAGTTAAAACACACTGGAAAGCAAAGTAACGCCGAGAAAGGGAATGCTGTGAGGTGCCTGAAATCAGGGCGATGCAGCTAGTTGTCACTTTTCCTCAGATACTCTTGGGCATTTCTGAAACTTATCTATCTCCACTTTTTCCTAGAAACAAAGAGGGATGGAAGGAAGAAAAGGCCAGGAGTTGGGGAGTGAGGCAGCAAACAGCAGAGACTATGAGCTCGGCCACCGCCTTTGGCTGAGTCTGGGACTGGCCTGCTCCCAGGGCCTCCCCTTCCTCGGCCTCTCCCTCCTAATCCAGGCCTGAGTTTTGTCTCTTTTCTACATGGAGGGTCCATGTATACATGGGTTATATATGTGAGAACGAACGGGCACACGTGTGCATGCTTGTTTCCCAGTGAGTTTTTTTTTACTCGGAAAAGAAAAATCCAAATGGGAGTGTCATAGCAAGCCCCCAGTTGTCCCTGCCTTTGCTGTGTCAGAGGCAAGCCTTTGCTTAGCTCCCTGGGGATGCTGTGGCACCGGCCGCAGCCTTGCGAGAGTGGAAAACCCTGGTGTGTCTCCTAGCCTGCTG